TTCATCGAATATTAAGATGACGGTCTGCAGATGCGGGTTCTGCAAAGGTTGGACAAATCTTCCTGGAAGAGGCTGAAATGTAGGATCGCTAGGACAAGTGTACTCGATTTTAGAGAGAATAGAGAGAATACGTGAAAAAGGGCGTAGGAACATTGCCAGCCTTTCTTCGAAAATGAGTCAGGGTTGGAGCATAGGGATCATCCTACTTCTGAAAAGCCGATTGAACAAACTACTACGTCAGTGAAAAGGGGGAAAGGGGTTGGGCGCCTTACAGAAATAATGCGATAACCATCTCTTCTCTGTCTTCGACATTATTGAACGTAGCATCACACAATTTGCTATCCGGTAGTGACCGATAAAGTTTTTATATTAGTATATTTCCCGTTAATCTTATATCCTATATTTACTTTATTCAGGAAATTCCACGCGGCTTACGAGACGTCTATTAATAAATCAACTTTTTAGATATCTTAAATAACAAAGTTTTTATTGTGACTCTATGGGGTGTTCCTCACTATGTCGTTCGGCCCGGCCGGATAGAAGTTGCTGCCCATTTCACACAAAAGCCTTGTAAACGTTTCACCCATAAAAAAGCCATTTTATCTATGCATGCGAATATGATATCTACGTGTGTAATTTCGCCCGCTCTCTTGTTTTTTTTTCTATTTATATATATTTGTATTTACCTTCAGGCACACCATGTTATAGAAATAGGGCGCATATAAAAATAATGGTGAAAATAAGACATTGTGAAGTCAAGCTGCCGCTGTTTTAACTGACATCTATGCTCTCGCAAAATGACTTTTCTGGCTTTGTGGTACTGTAACAAACAATAAAAGACGTGCTAATTGTATTATTCTATGAGCTAATTGGCGAATTAGAAAAAATCGGTCTCCACACTCATATGAAAGCTTTATAATGCAACTCATGGAACGCCAAGTACACCAAAATTGTTATCAAACCTTACACCTTTACCTACACCAAACCGGTGTAGGAACAGGTGAGAAAGGGAAAATGGTTTCATAACCAAAAAATAGCTTCAAAATACAAGGACACAAAGAAGGAAACACACGGGAGAAGGCCTTGACTATCAATTTTCTTATTATAAAAAACACATTCTAGTTCACGCAGGCGTATGGTCTTTTTTTCACTCTGTGGTTGCTTCTCTCTGCTTTCTTCGAATGCGAATTTCGAAAAAGGCTATCACTCTATCCCTGAGGTTCACAGATGGTCAGCTCCCGCACGCTGTTTTGGATTTTTCTTTCGTTACTCTATGGTGGGCCCTAACTACCTCCCTAGATAACTGAACTTTATGTTTGTATATGCCATTTGTGCTTCGGGAACGCGGTTCGCAGCCGCAGTCACGGCAATGCATTGCTAAAAGGAAGAAAGCTCCACCTTTTAACGAACAATGATGTTCGCGAAGTCGGATTTCCGCGTGAACAAGAATCTGTTTTCCATAACAAGCAAATTGATATTCAGCGCCTTCTCTTGTCTGACTGTTTGTTCTCTCCTTAGTTTCCTTTTATTTGTTCTGTTTTTCATTATGAACGTATACCAGCTAGCGCAACTCTTCATTTAAGTGAAATGTCTACAAAACAGCTGGTTTGTAGACACTTCTTTTTGGTGAATTTCACGTAGGGCAATGTCTCACAATCAATCAAACAATGTACTATTTAACGTTTGAATTGCAGCATAGGCATTTTGTTTATTTCATGTCGGCGTTAAAACACTGCATGGTACGGATACTTGTTTTCCACATTGAGGGGAGAATACGTTTGCGGTATGACTGCCAAATGTTCCAAACAAATGGCGAAAACTACAGCTAATTTTCTAAAACGAATACATTCACCGCGGACGATGTTCCCCACAGATTTCGTGACAGCAATACGCAATAGATATTAAAAATAATCGTTTAAGAGCAAACTTTATAAACCGTTGGGGCAAATCTGCAAGCTCAAAATTCGAGGCGAAATTTCGTCAACAGGAACCTCCATTATAACCTTAAAGGCAATCCTTCAGGGAGAACACTTAGCCGGGGTTTGATGAGTTCCCTGTCAAGGCAAAGTCTGAATAAGCAAGTCAAGAAAGTGTGCGTCTCTGTGCGCGTAACACAACAAAGTAGCAAAAGTTACAACTTCCAAAAGCGTAAAGTGCGCGGCAGGGGTGGAGAGCTTCAAAAATATACGTTCTGTGATAGAAAGTGGGCAGCAGCGGCGAAGGCTCTTCCCACCCCTCTGTTGGTGATAGCTACCACCGAACCTCTGTGGAGTCCACGCATGCCTATGTACAGTGGATGGTACCTGTCGTACGGACGAATCCAAAACCACAACCGCAAGTGACTCGCCTCCATCTAGCGGAGGTTTTTTTTTTTTTTTTTTTTTGCGTTTTCCCGCTGAACCAGTTACAAACGCGAAGCTAGCGTGAGAGAGTGCCATTTGTGTAACTTGTCTCACAAACGAATGCTGCCAAGCAGTTCCCTCCTCTTTTCGTACTAACGGATATCCGCTCGTCTCTAGTACCAAGGCAGCCTAGACAACTACGAACGCATTATAGTGGTGTACACCATTTTACCTGCCCTGTCGCATTTCATGGCAAGGGAAATGTTTCATATTTAGTTTCAAATAGAAAACAATTTTCCGTCAGATTCCTACAGTGCCAAGTTTCGCTGTGAGAATTCTTCCGAAAATAACGTTTTCGAGCGCGATACGATGGGAGGGGTGGGTCCTACACACCTTGAAGGAAAGTAAATGAAGCTAGATTCAAGACAGCGCCAGATATTGCAGGAGTAAGTGAAATAGGTCATACTAAAACTTTTTCAGTGATAAAGCACAGCTATCGCATTAACTTGCTTTGCTAAAAGATTCAGCGGGCCCTCAGCTCCAGATGTGTGGCGTTCCGCACTAAATGACAATAGCGTAGCCTACTCTCTGGAATACAAAATGTATCTGGAAACAAATGAAAGCTCTCTACATAGATGAACTTATGATAGACATCATTAGTGGCACAATATGTGATTTGCTCTCGAGTATATTCAGTGTACAGCTATCGAGAAGCTGGCGAAGTGCAGACAACCTGGTTTTCTCATGAACTTGTATCCTCGATGTCTAAAAAGCAATTACAATTTTATAAGCGCTTGTATTATAGAAAAATCGCTGTACTTGTAGCTCCCAGATAGGTCAAAATTAGGTTTAACAACCTAATTCCAATGCGGAATGGTGTTCTGTACCATAACTGAAACTACGAAAGGCAACTGCACAGGTCAGCAAGCTTTCACCTCAAGAATAAAGCGTATGTTAACAAGTTTTTATAACTTTACAAGGAGTCCCTTATCTTCTTACTTTCCAAAAAAAAAAAAAAGGCTATTAGATTCTTAACAGGTTAGTTGGCGCTGTCCTGTTGAACGGTATTGTCTCGGATGATGGTAAAAAGCGCTTTCCTTTATTATTATTATAGAAGACATATAACTACAACTGTGAGTATCGAAAAACTTCTCTTTGCATTTGCCCAGTGGGACGTCCTTCGGTTTACTACAGCACAAACTACACGCTCCTGCGTTGGCTTCCAATGCGATAAAAGGGAAACGCGACGATATATTGCGCTTCATCTTGCATAGAGTCGCCAACGTCCCCGTGTCTTCGCGCTTGCAAGGTCTGGGAAAAGGGACATATTTCATTGCTCTCTGCAATCGCGAGGGTCGCGTGTTTCGGAGCACGTTATGGCGGGTGCAGATGACACCAGTCCTCGACTACGATGAAATAGGTTACATGGTCGGGTACAAGTTACATTTCAAATTGCCATAAAGCGGCTGGCCAACTCTAAACAAACTTCTATATACTATAAAACTTTCGAGAGATCAAAACATCTGTACTAACCTCCTGCAAAAATCGATTCGCAGATAAAAATAATCTTCAGCACGTTGAGTGATGGTTCCCTTGAGGTCGCAGCCATTTTACCAAGGAAGCAAAGAACCTAAGAAATATTCAAACTTTTATTTCCTGCGCGCTCGCCTGTCTCTTTTTATGAACTAAGTGACATATCAGCCTGAAAATCAAAGTGTGGTTTTCGCCAAGACAGTCCTTGCAAAATTGAATGGCCGAATAGAAAAAAAATGTCCACCTTAATAATGGACCAAAACAAGCTCCCACCCACTTTTTTTTTTGGTCATGTCAGAGTAACCAACCCTGAAATTTAAAATCCAAGTATGGCTTTTACATGTCTCCAAAAAAATTCAGCAGAGAGGAGAAATTCCACTTCTTATAACCACGTAGTTTTTCTTTATGCAGGGCCGAATATTATATGGAAAGCTTTCGAATCATTTCGATACCTTTTTGTTTCTGTTTAATATCTAGCACTCCTTATCAAAGACAGAAGGTTTGCGGGGCCTAAGGTTGGTGTGGAACAATTGCTTTCTTTGAAGCAAGAATTTACAGCAACATGGCATCTGCGAATCTCAAGCACATCGTTAAGACTCACAAGCCAGGGCATTTCCAGTCCCAGAGCACTTTCGTTGCTCCTTCGGTAAAATGGCCTGAAGTGCGAATACTCAGTGGACCGCGTCAACCCTACATAATTCTCGCAGTGATTTGTACACACGCCGCTCTTTGTTCGCCCAGTCACACTGCGTTGCGAAGACCGGTACGCACGGCCTCCATAGGGAGTGTCTAGTACGTACGTCTCAAGTTACATTGCAGAGAGTATGGCGGATATTTCCGAGAGAACAGGAGCGCCGTAATCTGCCGCATGCCGCACCAAGCCGCAGATATGCGATCCTTTCTGCAAGCGAATGATTCACCATGGACATTCAAACTCCGGTAACGCTATACAATTTTTCCCAAGCGCTTACTTGCAATCTCCCGCCAGGTAAAACAGAGTAAGGCTTTCGCGGGACGCGCCCAAGCATGCAGGGCGTACCTGCAGAACACACACCCATACGCGCAAGCACCAAACCCGGGCGGCAGAAAGAGAGATCCAAGGCGCCACACGAGGCGCCGCGGGCGCTAGTACTCGATGAGCTTCCAGTTCTCCTCTGCCAAAGGCCCGATGGCGGCGTAGGCCAGGAAGAACCCGAACGTGAAGACGCCGAACAGTACCGGGAACACGGTTCGTGAGAAGTAGTCAATAGCTTTTGCAATACGCGGCTTGGGCGGCAATTCGGTTGGGAAGAGTTGGGGCCGTCGGAGCCAGGCGAACACCGAGGCTACGGCCCGGAGTCTCTCAGTCCTGGGCCCGGCCCCGTTCCCCGTCATGGCGGCCGGCTCTCCCGTGCTGAGGTCGATGCCCGCTGCATCCGTGGGCGTGGGTGCCGACCCCGCTGTGGTGCCTAACCCGGCCAGGCCCGCCGAAGCAGAGAGCGGACGCACAAGACTGTTCACGTCGTGCGCTGCAGCCGGCTCCTGCAGGCCTCCTGAGCTCGCCTTGTGGTTACTGCTCTGCTGCTGCTGCAGCTTCTCCGGGAAAGCGGGGAGCAGGAGGAGGGAGATGGAGTGGTTCGTAACGGCGGGGAGAGCATGGCACGGGATGGGACGCGTATGGACCACGGAAGGGCAGGAATGGGCACAAGCACGAACCAAATCAGGGCACGAGGAACCAAGTGCGCACACGTTGGATAGATACAAGCCGGTCCAGCATAAGCAGGATTCATGTCCAGTCGCATTGGGTAATTATAGTGCAGTCGTAAAAGTGATCAGCGTTGAGCGTTTGAAAGCAAATGGGGACATCAGTTAGTGTCAAATGTCGGCAGTGTTTAGCGGTGCAAAATTAGGTCATGTGTATAAGGAGTCGAAAGAAATTATTTCAGATGTTAATTCATTGGCGACGAGGAGGGACGAAGTATGTGTTTTTATTTATTTGTTGGTTTGTTGAATGTGTCAATCCAAGATACGAAACAAAACGCCGTTTGTTGAAGTCATTTCAAGGGCCGGATTTAGCGAGATGATAAGAAGGTAAAAAGAAAACATATAGAAGCACCAAATGTGCACAAAAAAAATAAATGCGCGAATATGAAGTCATATTATACAAAATAAGATTATAAAATAGGGATGGTAGCAAAAATAGATTGGCATGTATGTAAATAAACGATTGTAGGATATGCGGGAAGAGTGTTCAATAGAGGGTAGTGCGCATCACAAAGGAGTTGGGCAGTGCAATTTGGTTTGGGAAAGGAGGAGAGGATTTTGGAAGAGAAAACAAGGGTAGGACACTATGTTATTGACTCGTACACGTATGTCAAAATACATCCTCAAGTTGCGCGCATATCGAATCAGATGTAACAGCTTTGAATCACGAAGCCCTTACAGACTTTTGAACTTAAGAAATAAAATTCAGCCGCTAAGTCTAATGTACTGCGCACACAGTACATGCCTAAACTTCTTGAACACTGCAAATATTAACACATTCATTAACAAGTGGCGTATTATATTCTTTTAGGTATTTGAAAGTCGAGCTTCTATTTATTCTTAGTGCATTTCGTGAGCCTTTTATTGACGGAAACCCCAAGTAGTAGCTTAAATTTGGAGTATTGCGGTTCTTGCCCTAATTTGAAGACTCAACTGCAAAACACAAGAACAAAACATTCTTAGAAAACCTGTTGAGTATGTCATAGATAAAGGCGCACTTTAGAGCGGACACATTTCATGTCCGTCTAAGGCGGCAGAACTGTTGTGAATTGCACTGAATTTGAAGGAATGGTGTAAGGAAAAGGTGGGCTTCAGCGATAAGCTTGATGTGGAAAAAAGAGTTCATTTTGGCGAGAACGTGCAGGTGGAAGGCACCGGCGCTGCTCCTAGCCAGAGCTGTGCATCTTCAGCAAAATGCCAGTCAGGGGAAAGAGAGAGAGAGAAAGAGAGAACGACGTGCATAAGGAGTCTCGATGCAAAAGAGGAATGGTGGGGCGAATAGAGGAGAAGTGAGAGAGAAATAGAGAAAATATGCCGAGGAGGTGTCGCTGCTGAGTGGAAAAGGTTTACCTCAGCCATGGACCCCCTGGTGACGTCTTCTAGAATGCTTCCTGAGATGTCGGAGCGGGAAGACACCATCAAGGTATTGTAGTCGTGGGGCTATACCGTTTGTTAGGGAAGGAAGGGACCAGAACGAACCAGCATTGTTAGTGACCGCGTGGTTCTTCTGGTCGGTTGGACAAACATAGGTTATGCGGGGGTCAACGTGCCCACTGCTATCCCTCTTCCTTTTGAAAGTGACAGATATGCGGCGAATTTGTGGGGTATGACTAGTTAGAATAAATCGCCTCATCAAGTATCCCGGTTATCATTAGGTGAAACTATCAAATGAAATCGATGTCTCTGAAGGACTACCTGACTAGCGTAATGTGTGTAACAATCGGCGAATGAATTGAGCCATATTTGGTAAAGTCTCAAATTTGGAAACAGGTATGCCTTCGTCCACGTGGCAATTAAATGTCATGGGAATGGCTCCACCCTCGAAGTGCCGTTCTTTGACAACGTCCGTGGTTTAGGAACATGGTTTTGTAGATAGTATAGAAATTAGAGCTGTACCTCGGTCATAGTTTTAAGACCACCCTCGACAAAGCCCTGCTGTGACTGTAGCACCAATACAACGGCCACCAAATCTGTATTGGCAACTCATAAATAGCTCATAATAGAAATCGTGAAAAACCCATAAGAACGCTAAATATTATTCGCAGGACAAAAAGGACATTTTAACGCAAGTTGATATAATTAGTCTAAAAGCAGTATAATAAATAATATAACCTCTATAAAGGAGCTATATGTTGTTTCTCACAGATAGCTTTTATATACAGATCGTTGTCCACTACATGATCTTACTGTTAGCAGGTGTTACCAGGTGTATTGTCATTTAATACTTGCCAACGTACACCTAGAAATGGTACAAAGGCGTGCGGTCAAATTAATCTATGTAAAATTCAAAAGGTTATTTTTTCCATCACAGTTCATCAAAGCAAATAACCTATCAATGCTTCAACTACGCAAAAATCTCGTCAGGTTGAAATTCTTATTTTTTAACTAAAATAAACAAACAATGTTAGGTTTAATACGCATAATTATTTTTTCCACTAATATCACAGCCTTCGTGGAACCATAACGAATACTAATTAACACCCATATTTGCAGGCAACAATAGTTTCAAATTTTCGTTCTCTGCCCACGCCATCTTGGAAGGAAAGTTCTTACGTACAAGCTTTTTTAGGCTAACAATTTTTGTGGTGAAATTTGAATTTTTGTGGTGAAAATAAACACAAATAGAAATACAAGTAAGAACGTGTCGAAATACGAACACAAAATGAATAAAAGCAATTGTATGCCACGAGGCTACACCAGCAATACTAAAGACGTAAATAACAAAATTTGAAATCATTTAAATTTCATGAAAAAGAAGGGACCTCCCTTCTTTTTCATAAAATTATATGATTTAATTTTTTTAATTTACGTCTTTAGTATTGCTGGTGTAGCCCCGAGATGTACCATTGCTTTTATTCACTTTGTTTTCCTGTTTCGACATGTTATTACTTGTATTTGTATTGGTGTTTATTACTATTCCCTCCTGCTTGAGCCAGTTTCTGGCCTGCAGAATGTTCCAAATAAATGTCACATAAACCTCCATTGTTCTGATTTTTAGTGTAATATTTGGTGGAAGTTCAAAGGGTCAGTGAACAGATTCACGCGATTTGCAAACGTTTGTATTTTCCAGGGTACCCGACTTGTCTAACGTAATTTGGAACTTTCAATAACATGTCTGAAAGCATAGAATCCTAGTTCCTCTGGTTTCTGAATGTCTCTGTACTGTTCACTAGACGCATTTCACCTGGGTGACTTGGAAAACGTATTAATGTATTCACGTCCATCTAGAGCATATATTAGGTTCGAGATACTATTCTATCAATTGTGTCGGAAGTGTTACTCCGACGTGCAATAATATAAATGACGGTAAGAAGAAAGGATGACCCAATGAGGCTAACCTACACTATAACTTTGGTTATTTATAATTTAGAAATCTAAACTAAAAACATTTTAGACTGCTGGAAGAAAAGAACAAAAAAACGTTATCGTGACGAAAAGACAGCTACACGTCCCGTCACCCGCAACACTGCTGCTGATTTAGTTGTTTTCCCGCTAAAAAGTAAAAAAAATGAAAAAAGGCGAAAAAGTGAACACAGTTAAGGCAAAAAGGCAAATTGTCGAGGAACACGAACACCATTTGCAGATGGTAAAAATACTAAGAAAAAGATTGAAGATAAAAGAAACATAAAATTTGACACCAGGTTACTTGTCGTCAAATCGTGAGATTAAGGTTGCAAAGTTCCTTATGCGATAAGGCAATCGGCGTGCCGCTGATGCACACAGCCCCACTAGAAAAATTATTCGGGCTTCATACAGCTCGCGAGTTCTTTAAGACCTGAAACACCTAAGGACTTTTGGTATGGTTAAACTTCGCAGTGCACATACAATCCCTTACGTGTATTGCTAAGTGGCCAGGTGGTGACGACCTCGAGGATAAGGCATGCTCTTGTAGCCGGTCATTGAAACATGTTCCTGTCTGACCCACATATATTTTGCCGCAGGTGAAAGGAATTTCATACACCACGCCTCGTTGGCAGTCGACGTATTTTCGCTGATGGTTCAATTTTTACTCAACTTACTGTGCTTGAGGATTGTTGATCCTCGGACACAACCGCTTGAGTTTGTCCAATGCAGAAAGTTCCTCTTAGACATTATATTTAGATGCAATCTTTTTCAAATTGTGTGAAATTCGATGAATGTTGGGCAGCACTGCTGGTCGGGGGTTCTTGTCTCATGTGCGCTCTCGATGTCTGTCGGATGTGATCAGTGGCTCAGGTACTTCAAACAATATACCGGCTGATTCAAGGATACGGCAGGCTATTTAAATCGACCGCAAAATTCGGTTTCTTAACCTATCGCGCTACGACTTTGTGCAGCGTTGCCCACAGATGGTGCTTTTTTTTTTTTTGTAGAATTTGCAAAGAGCGAACTTACCTGAGGGAAAAGTAAAGAAAGAAAAAGGCTTAGCTCCTATAGAAACGCCGCGACGCCACCGGTCTGCAAACAACACGGCACCGTTTCGCACAGGAGACAAGAGATGGCGCAAGCGGTCGCGACGCCAACTGCCGCCAACGAACGAGCAGACGACGCCGAGAGCCGGCGCATTTAGCAGACAAGAAACTGCAGTTCCTTGTTGTTACCGCGCCTGTTTTTGTTTCTGCGGCTGTCGCCGCCTGCGGAACGCGCGCCGCTTTTGAGTCGAAAAAATTCTCTGCTAAAGACGCTGGCTCTCGGCGCCGTATGCTCGTTCGTTGGCGGCGTTCGTCGTGCCATCTCTTGTGTCCCTTGCGAAACGGTGCCGTGTTGTTTGCAGACCGGTGGCGTCGCAGCGTTTCTATCGGAGCTAAGCCTTTTTCTTTCTTTACTTTTTCCTCAGGAAAATTCACTCTTTGCAAATTTTACAAAAAAAAAAAAAAAGAAATGCACCATCTGTGGGCAATGCTGCACAAAGTCGCAGCGCGATAGGTTAAGAAACCGAATTTTCCGGTCGATTTAAAGAGCCTTCGGTCTCTTTGAATCACCCGGTAGAATGTAGGAACCCCGATGACTTCAGACGCAGCACTTGCGCTTGAAAGATCCCAGCCGCTTAATATGTACACGAATCTTTCTAGGCAGCACTCATTGTACTTTTTACAATTCCTCTCTTTATGATTTTTGAGCGTGCCGAGTCCAATTGTAGCAGGCATGTTTTGGTTCTTGCTGAACACTTCCAGCACGTGCGCTTGTCTTTTAACATTAGTTGTAGATCCAGAAATCGAAACTTAAATTTGTATGAGACTAGAGTAAATTGAGCCCGATCACATTGTGAAAGGTAAATGTTACAGAGGACTGGAGCCACGCAAGACCATATACATACTCCTTTGTTTTGTAGGCAAGACGTATCTTCGTACGCTACTACGCTGGCCGATAGATAGAACCGTAAAAGTCTAGGATGGAATCTGCCAGCATTCAACTTTCATTTTAAAAGAACATAATCCCGTTAGCCTCAGTACACTCTTTGACAGATAAAAACATTTTGTTGTTTTAGATTGAATAAAAGAGTTCCTCCGCATCAAGTGAAAGCCCGTGTTTTATTGCTGAAATGCTCTGTTGTCGGTGTTGCATAACCTCCTCTGAGCTAGGGAGGAGGAATGGGTCGTTCACTTTGAGGTTAGACAGATGTTGCATGAGAATGACCAAAGGATGTGGGCAATATGATTTTAAGATTTGATACTGGTTCCTGAAAATTCTAAACAACGTCAGACGTGTTAAATATCTATACTAGAGAATATCACTTTTTTGTGAAGCACGCAATTCTGGTCGCTCAAGCCTTAAATTGCTAGCAAATTTTGAAATATTACATAAAACATAAAAAGTATTAAAGGGCAACTCCGCTTCATTTTTGGTTTTGAAAAAACAATGCAGTCCTCTTCAGTATCGCCTAGGAAGACCACACGTCAAATATTACGACGCAGTTCTGTCTAAACGTTTCTTAAACGGTCCGGCAAACTTTGCAACTCGCCAAGTTGCCGAAATCGGGTGACTCGAGCGGGCGAATTCAGGCGCAACCAACAGCGCAGTCAAGGCTACGGCATGGGCGGAGCCAACATTGAGCTAAACGTAATCATCATGGCCCCCTATTGCTTGTTTTTACTTCTCCGATCGAGCGTAGCGCGTGACGTCGCAGCGTTGCCTCTCGGCGCTCAGCGCTGTCCACGTGATTGGCGTACGCGCCTGCGCAGCGCGCTTCTTGGGAGCAGGCCAACCGCACGCCGTGGTCCCGCCGTTACCGCCGTCTTCCGCGTCACAACCACCGTCGTCGTCTCACCGTTTGTGATTATTGCCTCTCGGAGTTTCGTCCACACTATGGACACCACGTGCGCAGAGTCGCACACTTATGCCGCAGTTGTGCAGACGTCGTCGAATGCCGTAGACATCAAAACGTGGGGAAGAGTGCGGTGCAGACGACAATCGCGCCTGCCGCACGCCCGCCCTCCCCCATCCCGCCCGTCGGTGGGCCGAGGATCACGTGACCTCTCGTACCACGTGGTGGCCATTTACTTGGCGGCCCGAGGCCAATGTTGCCGGACGGAGCCGAAGTTTCGGTTTCGATTTCCGCTCGTGTTTAAAATTAGACTTAAAAAATATATATCCCATTTTTCGCGAAGCAAAAGAGGTAGTGTCTTTTACTGGGGCTTTTTAATTCGAAATCACTCATTATCCCGAAATCTTCGGAATCGAGCGGAGTTGCCCTTTAAGGTGTACGTTGGCAGGTAAGGCTAGACAAGAAACCTGCTTACAATATGATCATACAGTGGATATCGTTCTGTACAAGTACAGCCCTTTACTGTGATCAGACATTATGGCAAAAATCCTCATCGATGACCCTTCGATATAATCAGAAATAAAATGTTTCCCTGTCTTGTCTTGTTGAATTTGTCGCACTGCAATTCGTTTCGTCAACTACCCGCGCTGTGATGAGCAAAGGGTGTTTCTGCTTCCTAAAGACGACAGAGCTCTGGATCTCCCGCTGCAGTGCAGCCATTACCTAGTCCTACTGTGATACGTAGCGAATGCAATTTCGCATCTCTTTTATTAAAAAAACGAATTTTAGTAAACCAGGAGTACCCAGAAAATGGAATCACGCCACATGCCATCACGCATCGCATGTGTTTCACAAATAGACAAATTTCGCTTTTTGGCACCAATATGCCCTGATAAAGGCAACGCCGTACCAAACGCCACATTGTTTTTGTTTTTTCTTCTGTGGTGTTGTCGGCAGCTGGGATAGAGGCAATCCTATGACGGCTCTGACTTATTTTCGGTACTGTCCTTCAAATTTCTATTTTCCATCGCAGATACCTAACAACTCGTTGCGTTTTTTTTTTTTCTTTTTTACTTTGTAAAACAACTACGAACCACATTAGCCAGGGATTAGATTTGTAATAGTTCTCTGTACCAAGATGAATGGATGTAATAAAACCCTAGTGAGGTGTAGAAGTTTCTAAATGGCATAAAAAAATGTATGAACCAAGTTTAAACGTCTTTGTTTAAGTTTAAACTGTAAGTATAACCCTAAACAAACATACAAAAACTGTAAGTTTAACATGGTTACCAATCCCGCACAAAGAGACGAGGACAAACGAGCGAAAAAGAAGTTGCCTTCTTGCGAACATTTGACTTTGACTGAACTGTTTACTCTCTGGTGCCATTGTCATAAATCGTGCCACATCTTTCTTTTCTTCACTAAATATACCAGAGTTGTGAGTGCGCGCCTGTCTGTGTTCGGTGTTCCTTCCGCGTTTGTCCTCGACTCTGTGCGCGATTTGTAACCCAGTTCAACGTTTACCAACTCGCCCAGCTTACTACTTTACTGTAAGTTGAAACAAGTCTACTAACTTACCGAGGGTTATCTTTTTATAGACGAAGGCTGATCATATGAAACTTGTTTGTGCCGCGTCACGTAGCCTGGCGCACGGTGTCTTTCAAAATAAATTGATAAGCGCAGCCAAAGAACAAGGGAGCAGTGTTCATTCTCCTTGCATGCCCGGTTTCTGTTGACAGCGCTATCAACGTGGCGAGAGTGATTATGAATCCGTCGAAGCTGGGTCAGCGAGTGGTGATTCAATTCGCAACGACCGAGGGTTGCGAGGAGGCTACAGTCACCTTATAGTCCCTGTATGTGAACATGTTTTTCGTGTCTTCGAATCCCCAAAGAGAGCTTTAAAGTTACAATTGTACTGCGATGCGGCCATCAAGGCTGCGTTGACTAAATGGTTCAAGGAGCGCACACAGTCCTTTTTGAGGACGGTATACGCCGCCTCACCAAGCAGCGGGACGCGTGTCTGAATGCCTAGGGCAGCGTCTTCGAAAAAATCATGGTACAGGTTTCGTCTCTTATATATTGCTCCGTATAATTTTATTCCCCCCGCTGATGTACATACCTTGTTGTTTGCACTGCTAAAGGGACACGAACTGGTTTAATTTTGTTTCAGCATATAGTTTCTACACAATGCGGCCATGTCTCAACAAGAAGGACTCAAACGAGATGGGAGTGCGTGAACATCATAGACTAAAATCCATATGTTAGGCAGGACAAGAAAAGACACGACATCATTGTCTAGAGGCAGCTCGGCCTACACTAGGTTGCTTAAAAGCTACCTCTTTAGGGCTGTCTAAACAGAACACTTGAAACACACGCGAAGTGACGCTTCTCCGCCATAAGCAGAGCGGCGATCTGCTTCCAGCCATCTTTTTTGCCAGCGAGAATGCTTCCCTCCGCCACGCCAAATGTGTCCCTCAAGGAGGCCTAGAGCATGCTGATCACGGGTTTCCAGACAGCCACTCACGCGCTCTGTTGGCTGTCAGTCAATCGCTCAATGACTGCCCTGCGCTTAAAATCCCGGGAACGAGATAAGGGGGCGCGGCAGAAATGGTGGACAGGCTTACACCATTGGCAGGTGACGTGTGACGCCAAGTCTGACGAGCACTAAGGTCACAGAAAAGCAGAGATGGCGAGGACAAAAGACGTGATGGTTGTCCGGTGACTGTGCAGACGAAAAACGGCTTGCCGGACTTCGACTTTGACTTCATATTGCGGATAAGTGTGGCCTCACGCGTTTTGAAGTATCGAGTTTTGACATAAATTTACTCTTTGACTATGACGCAGTGATTCGTACAATAGGTAGTCATCGAATGCATACATTGGCTCGTCTATCTTCGCCGCACGTCCCGATTACTTAGGCTTGCAGTTTAATTCTCCGAAACTCACTTAAATTTGCATGTCTTAAATATAGAAGGCCCAGAAGTGCGCCCTAACATAAGCTTCCAACACGTCCTAGTGCCATGACCATCGACCGTTTGTCTTGGCGCGAGTGGGTCCTAAATGAAGGCCCCGCCGGATCATTGAGCCCCGCCGTAATCGTGCGGCACCGCGCGCAGCCAGAGAGGTGGCGGTACCTTTTTCATCATCTCGAAGTCCTGCGCCCGGCTCCTGGGTGCCTGCAGGAGCGGGGCCCGGACCCCCGGGGCCTCAGCGGCCGCCACCGCGCCGCCGGCAGATGACGAAGGTCGACTGCTCGGGTGGCCTCCGGCGCCGGCACCGTGGTGGGGGTGCTGTCTTCTGCCCAGGTTGCGGTACAGGTAGTTGACGATGATGAACTCCAGCATGGACGCGTAGATGAAGAACATGCAGACGCCGTCCCACAGGTTCATGGCGGTCAGGTTGGACACCACGGGAAGGTTCGAACGGAAGCTGCGAAAACAACACAGAGGCTCGCTTTTCGGACTGCATGAACTGGAGATTTTGTCATTCAATTGAAACGCAACTAAACGAGGCTTTCAACAATCAACAAGAGGAACTCAATTATTAGTTCAACGAGAAAAAACGAAAAAAGGTATTGTAGATAACACCCAGCTTCGTGTTGACTAGAAAAATCCTTATAAAATATTTTTTCTGCCCATTTGAACTAAAAATGGCGTCTTTCAATGTTTGAATTTTAGTTTAAGATAGGGCATCTTATTAAGTAATTAGGCGGTCCCTTATATTTGTCTGGTAAGAAACAGTTTTATGTTGGTTTTTATCTACACGGGTTTTATGCAAAAACCAGAAATTTAGAGCATGATATCAACAACAATAAATTCACAAAAAATCACAAAAAATACTTTTCTTTGAGTTCAAAGGCTTCTTCATCCAAATTAACTTTTCGCACAAATCCCAGACATAAAATATTTGCCGCGTCTCCATTGGCATGGAATGACCCGGCAGAAAGATCTGCGGCCCTGGCAGAACTCATTCGTACTTCCACAGATGAATAGGACCGATGGTGAAGAAAACGTGACCGACGTAAAATGGCTCTAGAGTCCTTTCACGACCTCCGGCCTCGGCCAACAAGAGTGGACAACTCGCCTATTGGTGGTGGTGCAAAAGTTGAGCATGGTTGTGACGCCGATCATGACACGGGCCGGCACGGCGTTAATGTCCAACCAGAAGCTGATGAAGGAGCTCGTGACCAGCACGATGCCCGGTACAAACACGGTGCTGATGTAGAAGGACTTGTCCCTCGTGAAGACCAGCAGCACTCGGAGGCAGCTGTAGTTACCTGCGCAGAAGACGGGGCGCTCAGTATGTGTGTGCACGCCCATTACAGATCACACATGTTTCCGGGCGGTTGTTTTAACGATGCGTCTCTTTGTCCTCGTGGGTATAAGAGACTTTTATGGTACGCAACCAGCTCTGTGGGGTCTGGAAATACATAAAGGTAGTGACTTTGTTAATTCTACGTATAAGCCTTTTGAAAGTGCAATTGAATTCTATTGTTGCGTTTTACTTTATATATATCTTGTAATTACCCCCTGATGTAATGCCCTAAAAAGCGTTTTTGAGGTATTGGGAATAAATAATTAAATAAATAGATAGATTTCTGCCCATATCTCACATTGGAAAGTAAACATATTCGACAGATATCTGCCTGGTTGGGTGAGAGTTAAAGTCTGAAAATATATCTCCAACCAAAAAATGAAAGGCAACCCGACGTTTCAAAACCAACACGGTTTCTTCTTCAGGGGTGACTGAAGGCGCGCGGACACAGCAGCAGCTCCCAACCTCTTCGTCTTCAAAAAAGGAAAGAAAAGAAAGAAAGAGAAAAGAAAAAGAGAAGTTAGGAAATTGGAAAAATTGTAAAATAACTTGTTAGTTATGAAGATGGTCATCTCTTCAGCTTTTCCGTCAGGTCACGGAGGCCATGTGCGTACACAGAGGGCAGAGCGCCCAGCGACCTGTTTAGGTTTCCTGGGGTGTGCTGGATGTGCCACGATTCCAAGAAAAGTCTTCTTCGAAAATTGGGCTCTGTGTCCACCACGTGCGCGTTCGCGAAGTCAATGCGATGGTCTAGGGTATCGCAATGTTCGGCGATGGCGCTGCGCTCACTGTCAAACTTCCGCACGTCGTTCTTGTGTTGGCGGATACGCTCGGGAAAGTTCTTCGTCTCGCCGATGTAGGTTGCGGGGCACTCTGAGCAAGGAATGGTGTAAACCACGCCCTGTGCTTTTTCCTTTGGTGGACGGTCTTTCGGTCTTAGCATAAACCTTCCCAGTGTGGACGTGGGCTTGTGGGCCACCAGAATACCTTTCTTTCCCAGTACTCGTGCGAGCGCTTCGCTGGTTCCCTTTACGTAGGGAACGCTTATGCGCGCGACTCGATGGGGCTGTCGTTCTTCTACTGGCATCTGGTCTTGTCTGGCGAGACCTTGCCGTCGGGCGATGCGCTCAATAAAGCTGCTAGAGTAACCATTTTTCTTTAGGTCTTCAATTATGGTCTTCTTCTCCTTCTTTCTATCGGTTTCCGACGAGCAGATAGTCGTTGCCCTACGCAGCAGGGTCGAAACCACTGAGGCCTTATGACCCGTTGGATGGTTGGAGACAAAATTTCCTAACTTCTCTTTTTCTTTTCTCTTTCTTTCTTTTCTTTCCTTTTTTGAAGACGAAGAGGTTGGGAGCTGCTGCTCTGTCCGCGCGCCTTCAGTCACCCCTGAAGAAGAAACCGTGTTGGTTTTGAAACGTCGGGTTGCCTTTCATTTTTTGGTTGGAGATATATTTTCAGACTTTATATCTCACATTGCTTTGGTCTCAGAAATACGATTAGAATCGTAGAATAAAACAATTGGAGAAACTTCTAATATAAGGGAAATAGACAGAATCAGTCTATATCAGAAGCTGCAGGCAAAGTAAAGTTTGGCGAAGGTTGTGCTAAGCGAAAATATGAAGGAACGAGCAAATCTTCATGGTTACGTCTAACTTTTAAACAGGTGTTTGGTGACGCTAGAATTGTTTGTGCTTCTAGTCGAGCGGTTAAACAATGAATTGTTTCGTTCCCGTCGAGAACGTTCCGCAATCTGTTCCATCGTAAGTCCGAGCGTGAGTCTAAAGCCAGTTGCAATGCAAAGACAAACTAACCAACTGAAAACGCTACAAAACAATGCATTCTTAGCATTTTTTTTAACCAGACAGCGGTAGCACATGCATCAAAACACGGACAATCCGCGCGACCTGGCACTTTCTCAAAGGCTTGATTCGCTCTCCGAAAAGGGGTGTAGTCTTACACCCTTTGTCTCACATAATACGCCCCAAAACTTCAGTTCGGCGTCCAGCTCACTGACGTCGAGCCGACGGTACCAACTTTCACAAGCGGCGTGATAGCCGAATTGTACAACTGATTAAAATAGCTAAAGTACGTGCTACAGACAACTACCATATCGGGTTTCCTTAGCGCTATAGCAAAATCTTAGTTTTTTTTTGTTTGTTTTTTTTGTAGTCTTTTATTCGTATGTTAGCTGTTGAGTAAGTTCTATTGTGCCGTTATCGAGCCCCTCGTAAAAGTTGGAGCAGTCGGTTCTACGACAGAGCGCTACAAATGGAACTGAAATTTTGAGGTATATTATATGAAACGAGATGTAAGGGTGTAAGACTACGCCCTATTTTTGAGAGTGTTTGGCCTACAGGCTCATAGCGTTGGTGGGAGGAAATGGAGCATATTTTCTAATCGGTGCAAAATTATATATTAATGTGAAACGATATTTTGCTAGGTGTTGGACATTTCGTGAAGCCTGGGTAAAAAAGTGAAGTCTACTAAAAGCGTGGCTTTTTGAGAGTGTGTGTGCTTGGGGTGGAAGGGGATTGCAGTAAAGAAAGCATAGGCGCCAGGCGGGACGCGGACGCAGACCTTGTAAATATTCTTTTCAACGTGTCACGACAATTTTTATATATTTATTCTGGTCGCGACACTTTCCTTTTCTGTATTGAGTGCATAAAACAGACTACCAGATCTTTAGGGCAGTCGGCGAGCTAAAGTTCCTTCATACACAACGACAACTCGTCCATCACTTTCCCGAGTAAGCACTACGTCTATAGGTTCAAAAACACTATTCACCTGGGCCATAGGCTCAGTGAAATTGTGCGGAGCTGTTTTTTTTTTCCGCTGAGTGGCGTACCTCCATGCGGGATTTCCACAAACCAAACAAGCATAACACCGTAATCGTATCAATATGAACACTGTCGTGTTTTGTTGATTTTTTCAAGCGCAAAAAATTGTATTGGGTGTGCGCTTATCCATAGGTATATTTTTACAGTTCGCTTTACAACATCCCAGAACATAGCTGCATCCCAGAAGTTCATAGACACATGCTTATTTTCTCGGGTTGCTTGCACAGTAGTTCACTGCCTACGGTATACTCCAAGAAAGAAAGAAGAAACAAGCTAGCAACGGCGCGGTTTTCTCCCTTCCACTGACGCGATCCCAAAACGGAGAAGAGAAGAAGGGAGGACCGAGACGTTTTCTTCTCCAAACAGACAGAGGAAAGGTTCCGCCCTCTCTCCTCATCTTCTGATGGTTTCTTTTTTCGAGCACCTCGCCCGCGTTGTTTAGTAAAGGTTGTTGACTTGATTCAGCTTCATCGGCAGCGAAGGCCGCCTGTATTTCTGTCTCCCATTCCATCTCGTATGCATTCACGTTATTACCACTAATGTTATCAAATGAGCAGGCGAAGCCGTAAGAAACAGCGAAGTGCCGGAATAGTGCTAGTAGCACTGGGCGAAGATGGCCGCCTTCGGATTGCGGAAAGACGTGTCGACGTGGACAACGTTAAAGAAACCGCGGAAACTGCGTCCAAGACGGACAGGTATTGCTGCCGGCTGCCAGCGTGCCTTTTGTTCCAAGTTCCGTTCTGCTTTCTGATGCCCAGTGCCAATCGCCAATCAACGTGGTTCTGTATTTTTACGTGTCAGCAACATAGCAGCAACAACACGATGACAGTGTTGCGTGTTGTGAACGAAGACTAGAATTTTCGCCGATGTGACCTTGTGTTCGCGTATCAGTGGTGTACGAGCAAGATGAGATGACGTAAATTGTCGGGCATTGATGCCGCTGATCGGAGGGGGCGTGCTATCGCATGTTGACATTCTGCTTTACATTAGGCAGTTCTAGCATAGCGTACGCTAGGGTCATAAGGTAGTTTTTTTAGTGCACGCTAAAGCTTTGAGTACGTATAATACAGCGTTGTCGCCACTGAGCGTACGCCGAACGCAAAATGTGGTCCCCGCTTTGTGTGCGCTATTTTAGCGTACACAATATTTCTGAAATTGCGTGCGTACGCAAACAGCCTTTGCGCTACGTTTTGCTCCTCCTAAGATGATTTGTGATGAGAAGTTGGCTAAAGCCAAGACCAGCCAAGACGAGCAGAGTTTAAAAATGGCGGCTTCCAGGATCGTGGCTGCAGTCGCTTTGGAAGAGCCGTGAGCGCGACGTCGGCGGCATCCTCGCGACTCCCATTTTCAACCGATGACGACATTGCACTCGGTTTGGAAGACCTGATAAGGTTGGCAACGATCGTCGGTAACTTGATATTCACGACACGCAGCGATTTCTCGGCGAAGGTATAGGTGTGCGAAGGTCAGTACCCGAGACCTCTCTTACCGAGGCGACGCAAGCGGACACGACCGGTTGACCGCTCCCGTTGTACTCTCACATGTTAACAAATCTAAAACGTTACTCTGGATAAAAAAAAAAAACTTTTGTTTCGCAAGTTAGAGCATTTCGTGCGCGAAATAAAAATTGTGATCATCTTGGTCGCGTTGCAAGCGCGAGATGCTTGGGCTTTTGCGTCGCCGCGGAGAAATGCTATTCTAGAACTTTGCGTAGCGTGCGCAAAAATTGCGCTCTTTATTCTAAAACTCCCTACTGGTGCACGCTAAAACTTTGCGTTTGCAAGGAATATCGTGCTAACCTCTGCGCGAAACGCTAACCACGCTTTGCGACGCTATTTTTCAGAAATTGCGTTCGTACGCAAAACGTCATTGGGTTCCTCCAAGGTGGATTTGTAATGAGAAGTTGGCTAAAGCCAAGACGAGCACAGTTAGAAAATGGCTGCTCCCAGGACCGCGGTTGAGGCCGCTTTGGCGGTCGCCATGAGTGCAACGTCGGCGCTATCCTGGCTATTGCGATTTTAAATATAGGACGACATTCCTCTTTTACACGAGGTGCACGTCACAGACGGTTTGGAAGACCCAGCCAGGTGGGCAACGATCACCGGAAACTTGCTGCTGGCTA